TTCCCGGCTTGCTGACGGTGCGGCCCCAGGAGACCAGGTCTGACTGAGGACCGCAGAGCACCTGCTATCTGAGCTGCAGAGAAAAAGCTCTTGCCAGAGTCAGCAGGGGCCTGTGCTCCCCCAGCTCAGTGTTCACCGCCGTGACCTAGACTCAGAAGTGATGATTGTACACCTGCGGGACGTGGATGTTGAAATCATTATCAAAACTGTAAACCGCATGATCAAGAAGCAAAGGGTCAAGCGTGTTAAATGGGGACATGGAAGACAGGACCCAGACTCAGATTGAGTTTCTAGAGTGAAAAACACGTGTCTGAGGTGAAAAGTGCCCTGGGTGGGATTAGCCAGAGCATGGGAGTTGCAGCGCGGAAGATTTTAAACTTCAGGACGGAAACAGAACCTGTCAAAATGAGACACAGAGGCAGAAGGCAGAAGAAAGTGAAGGGAGCATCAGTGAGCTCCCTCAACTTCAGGCAGAGAACAGACATGCCTTTGGGGGCCCTGGGGGTGGGGGAGGGGCAAGGCAGAAAGTATATTCGAAAGACAATGGCCACAATTTTCCAAACTCAATGAAAACTCTTAAGGCCACAAATCCAAGAAGCTCAATGAGCACAAAAAGTCATGAGGAAACTGCAGCAAGGCACAGGCTAAGTAAGTTGTTCAAAGCCAGTGATTAAGAGAAAATTCTTACATGTGCTGTGGAAAAGGTGTCCTTACAGATGGTGAAATGAAGTGAGAACGAATGCAGCGGGCGAGGGGTCGGGGCAGCAGCAGAGACGAGGGGTCAGAGGGCAGCAGAGGCGAGGGGTCGGGGCAGCAGCAGGGGTCAGGGACATCAGAGCGGGCGAGGGGTCAGGGGGCAGCAGCAAGGGTCAGGGGACAGCAGGGGCGAGGGGTCGGGGCAGCAGGGGCGAGGGGTCAGGGGGCAGCAGCGCAGGTGAGAGGTCTGGGGCAGGTCTCTCCGGGACCCGAAGAGCGCACTGCTGACCTGGAGTTCTGTGCCAGGTGAGACCCGTTCGTTGCTGAAGGGGAAACAGACCTTTCCGACCCACGGAAACAGAGCTCCATCGCCAGCGGACTTGCACTACAAAAATTATTCTGGGGAGTTCCTCAGGTAGAAGAAGAGCGAGAGCAGGCAGAAAGCTGCCTGCACGCGGCGGGGTGAGCGTCACGTGGGTAAGCAGAAAGACATGTTTCTTGTCATCTACGTCCCTCTAGAAGATAACTGTTCACGTCAGAAAGAAGAACGCTGGTTTATAACCTAGGAGAGCCAAAGTGCTCCACAGCAACAGTGCGGAGGCCCAGAGGGGAAACAGAGGCACAGCTAGCACCCGTATCAGGTGCTCCCACACTGCCCTAAGTGGCAGGTCACTGACACTGGACTGTGACGAGCTGAAGGTGTGTGCAGGGCAACCCTCAGATAACAAAACAGAGGGTCGTGACTAGTAAGTGCACAAAGGAGGGAAAGTGGAATCATAAAAGGTATGCAGTTCATTCAAAAGATGGCGGAGGAGAAAGTGATAGAAACGGGAACGAAGAACAGATCATAAAGCAGAAAACAAGCAGTAGAACGATAGCTCCAGACTCCACCATGTCACTGTCAGTGGTCGAAACACCCCAATTAAAGACAGGTTGTCAAATGAGATAAAAAGGCAAGGTTCAACCATACGCTGCCTACAGGAAACTCACTTTAAATATAAGGACCACAAATGGGTTCAAGATAAAAGATGGAAGGAGGTACACCAACACCAATCAGAAGAAAGCGGGGTCACTACATTAATAACAGACAAAGAAATTTCAGAGCTGAGGACGAAGCCAGACATGAGGAATGTCTCACGATGGCAAAGGAGTCCGTTGGTCCGTCAGCCGGAGGCAGCAGTGTGGTGGTACGATGCTGCTGACAGAGCTTGAAGTGCAGGAAGCAGGGCCCTCCCCGGCGCCCCCGGGACCCGACAGGACCGCAGAGGACCGGCAGTGGTACCATCCAGGCTTCGAGGAGGTTCCACCCCAACACAGGAGCCCACCTTTACCAGGACAGACCACAGTCTGGCCCACAAGCAAGTCTCAGGACATAGGACGTACCTGAGGTGTCACAAGCCACGTTTTCTAACCATCAGAGAACCAACAGGAGAAAGACATCTAGAAAATCTAAGTATTTGAAAATTTAGTAACATGCTTCACAATACCCCATGAATCAAGAAAGAAATCAAAGAGAATTTGATAGTATTTTGAAATAATCAAAAAGAGCACAAATATCAAAATTAGTGGGATACCGCTAAATCCACATGTTGAGAAGGATTTTATAGAACAGAACACCTTTATTAGGCAAGAAGTAAGAAACTAGAGAAAATGAATTAATTAACTCTGCATCTGTGTGTTGGGATTTGCTAATGAAGGCGAATTACTTCATTGCTAAGGCAGGAGCTATTGCACCCCCAGGTTTGGGCCTGTAGCTGGAAGGCAGGACTGCAGAGACGGATGGATGGACAACTGGGAGGGCTGGCTGTGGCTGGCTGTGGGAATCGGGCACAGGCTGCGTTCCAGCCGAGGCGCATCTGTGGACGGTGTTGGCACAGGGCCACACGGGCGGGCTTCCTCCCGGGCCCTGCAGGGGACCATGCCTGTGTCTCCTCTTCCTCCCACTAGGTGAATTACAAATATATTCAGTTCCCAGCACTGCAGAGAACAGAAGGTGGGGTCCTTACTGGCAAAGAGATTTTTTCTGACCATTTCCTATCAGCTTGGTTTTGGGTGAGTGTGACCCCAAGTGCTGCTGCTGGACTCTGCTGCAGGGGTGGCTCCAAGTGGGAGTAGGCCCGGCATTCTCGGGCCCGCCCCTGATGAACAGCTGTCCAGGGCCCAGCAGGACCGATAGAGGATGACCTGAGGTCGTGATCCTGGGGGAGCCACTCGCCCGGTGCCCCTTGGCGGCTGGCATAGGGTGGGTTCTTCAAGGTCAAGGGCGCTGAGTCTCAGGTGACCTTCACCACCACCCAGGGCCGCTCCTTGTCCCCAGCAGTCTACAGAGGGCACTGTGCTGCTCGCCCTCAGCCTCGTGATGAAGGCAGGCAGCGGCCTCCGTGGCAGCTCGCTGGCCTGTGTGACTGATGGCAGTCGACAGCCTGGACCCTGAAGCTCCCCAGCACTCACTGACCCACTTTCTCCGCTGTGGCTGGAAACATTTACGTAACCACGGCTGCAGGGCCCTGCCGCCCCACACAGGAGGAGATGTTTCTAATTAAACAGGAGGCCTGGCATCCCGCGTGCCCAGCGCCCGATCCGCTCCATTGGTGCTGGTACCCCTGCTTGCTGCAGGGTGTCTGTGCGGGAGGGGGCGTCGTGAACTTGGTGCCGCACCAATCCCTTGAGCTTGAATGTCTCCTCTCCTGCCCGGGGTCTCTGTCCAGAGCGCCCTCTTCCAGCCAGGCCTGCTGCCATGTCCACGCGCCCCGTGCTGTCCGGTAGGACCACCGTGCCCGAGACCAGCGCTCTCTGTTGTGCCCTTCCCCGCGCAGCCACCAGCCACATGGGGCTGCTTGGTCAACTCTGAGTGTGGCCGGCGAGTTTCTTATTTCAAATACAAATAGCCACAAGTGGCCAGTGGCTCCGTGTTGGGCAGTGGAGATAGACCACATTAATTTGTAGGGGTGGTTTTTAAAACTTGCCTTTGCCAGGTCTTAGATCTTCATGTCAGAGTCCTTGTTCAAAAGCATCGTTGTCTAATCCATAACGAGGACTAATAGTTTGAGTTGTTACAGCACGAGTGGATACGTTGTCATGTGCGCGTCTGTTAACGCAGAAATGTGTCTGCCTCTGTCATCTGTGACGCGCCCACCACCACCAGCAGACAGAATGTGCTGTTCTGTGCTTTATTTTGTATTTTCCTTGAAGCATGTTTTTCAGCAGGAACCAAAACCTACAAGGTTAAAGGAAAATCTTGCTTTTCTAACTTGTGGTCTCTCCTGTGTGTGGACGGAGCCTCCCATCCTTACAGGTCACATCAAAGGGCTGGTGTCCAGACCCCCAGACGGGGGGCATGCCCAGGTTTCACTGTTCCTGAGGGACTTAGACCAAGCATGGGGTCGTATGTGGGGAGTGCTGGCAGAGTTGGCCCCAGGCCTCATCCTTCCTTCATGGCCCAGGCACCCCACCCACCTCTCAGGTGTGCCCCCGGGCAGGTGTGTGCAGCTGCAGGAGGCCTGTGGCACTCTCTGTTCCGTGGGGTCCACCTGGTGCTGCTCCTGGGAACCCCTGGCCCCGGGTCATCCAGAATCTCCCCCAGGCAGGCCTCCTTCCCTCCCTGTGCCCCCGGCAGCACCCTGCTGTCAGACCCTGTGACCACTGCCCCACGGCCTACCCACCCCCTCCAGGACTGGCCACTCCCCGCTCCCCTGGGGGTCACTCATGCCCCGTGTCCCATCCTGCCCTCGTTCCCCTCCTCTCTGACCCTTGTGGACCCTGGCACCCAGCAACTCCCCTGCACTGTGAGACATCCCCACGCACCCAGGCAGGTGACTCTCCAGCTCCCATTTGCTGCCCTGACTGCTGGCCCTCCCAGGAAGGCTACCCAAACAGCCCACCCCCTGTGACCTGTGTTGCCTGCTGAGTGAAGCATCCCTTCCCAGGCCTGCAGTCAGGTCTGGTGTGCCCATGGGGCCCCCCGCATCTGGGCCTGGGCTTGCCTGAGTATCTGGTTCTGCAGACCTCTCCCGTCTATTCTGGAACCTCTCCTGGTCCTACCCTCTCCCCTTGCTGTGCCCTGAGCCCTGGCCCCACCTGACCTTCACTTCTAATCCTCACTGGTGCCTGTCTCGGAGGCCACCCTGTACACTGTGGTGGGCTGACCTGTCCCTCGGGATCCAGCCTGGAGGAGAACCTGGACCCTCCCCACGCCCACGCACCCCCCAGAGGCCAAAGGTCCTAGCAGGCCGGGACACCCGACCTGTGTTGGCCATTGACCATGTTCTCAGCTGGCAGCCGCTATGCCTTCCCTTTCCAGGTGACGCCATCTGGGCCCCATCTGTCCTTCCTCACGGCACCCTCGGCACCTTAAGCCACTACTCCCAGCCGCATTTTGGGAGAAAGATGGAGTCGAAGGTCTCAGAAGGTGGCCTGAACGTGACCCTGACAATCCGTCTGCTGATGCATGGAAAGGTACGGAGCCCAAGGCCACTGTGTCAGACCAGCTGGGAGGCAAGGGAGGGCGTGCCCACCGCCGGGGTCTGCTTTGTAAACCCTGAGCCGTCTCAAGCTGACTAGGCATTGCAGCCCACTCCAAATTACATTTCCCTGGAACCCTTGGAGACTCATTGCAACCTGATGCCCGTCCCCGTCACTGAACACCTTAGTGTGTATTTCCTACAAACGAGGGCGCAGTGCCCCATCCACGTCAGGATACCAACACCAGTACGTCCCAGCCCCTCGCCTCGGGCCCCGTTCAGGTCACCAGTCGTCCCAGCCTGCCCTTCACCACAGGACACGCGGTGAAGGGGGAGTGGTCAGGCCTCCATATCCCAGAGCGTCTCTGGTGGTCTCCAACCTGGAGGAGTGTCCCTGCTCTTCCTTTGCATTTGACCTCTGAAAGTGCCTGCCCTTCCTCAAGGCGGCTTTTCTGAGGTTTCCTCACTGTTGGTGGGAGTCACAGGAACTCTCCCATCAGGGGCACAGATCTCAGGGCCTCCATTACTGAGCCCTTGGTCCTTCACCCAGAGCTGCTGTTAGATGCTGCTCGGGGCCCACGGACACTGTGAGAACCCCTCAGCGGCCATTCATCCGCCCATTCATGCACGTCTGCATGTCATGACTCATTTTGATGCTCGTATTGACCCTGACTCAGCCACCGGGAGCCCCTCCAAGCTGGCTCCTGTGTCCTCATGACGTGGGCTGTCATTCACCCAGTGCCAGCTCGCTTTCTGGCACAAAACACTCTCATGACGCCCTTGTGCTTTCCCTGCCGTGGTCCTGGAGTCAGCCATTTCTCCAAAGAGCCCCGACTCTTGTGAGTGGGGGATATCTACACGTATGTGTTTATTGAACATGCGTGTGTATGTACGATCACAGTGTGTGTATACACACATATGCATAAAATTTATTTCCATGTTTATAGACTGGACCCCGGGAGTTCCTACCCCCCAACTCCAGCCCAACAGCACAGGGTTCGCACCTCCATCGGGCTGTGTCTGGTGTCCTTGTGGTCTCCTTGCCGCGGGGCCGGTGGTGCTGCTCCTCCCAGATCGCCAGGCGAGGCGCCCTCCCTGGGGGGGGGGCGTGGGGGTCAGGGCTCACACCCAGAGATCCCTTTCTGCAATGGAGAGACGGTGACCAGCTTTGCGCCTCCCACGTGTGGGTGGCATTTGCTCAAGGTTGTCAGAAGCTGGGAGTGCACCACAGAGGGCCCCCACGTCCGGGGCCCGCAGCAGCCTCAGGCACCAACTCTGCCCCAGGAGGAGCGGCGCCGCGGCCGCCGGAGGGCTCAGCTGCCCTTTGCTGCCTCAGCCGCCCCTGCGGCACGCACCCTCCCACGGCCCAGCAGGATTTCGGGCCTTCACCGGCACTGTTGTAGCTGCTGAGGACTTCCTGTAATAAGGGAAAAGAGTTTGACTTTGAAAGGTCATTCCCGGGGCTAGGAGCAGGCTGGCTCGCAGTGCCGAGTGGGCCTGACGAGGCGGGAGGTGCCGTGAGGAGCAGGCCTGGCCAGGAGCGTGTGTCCGCACCATCATGGGCTCCAGGCTTCGGAACTGGGGCGGTATGTTCAAGCGTGTCTTTGCGTAGTCTCCTTTCTAAAAAGTGAAAAAGCGGTAGCAGTGCTTAATTACCTTCACATCACAAAATCGGGGGAGATTCTATGTTTTATCTGTTTCTTGCAGGGTTTCTTGAGGCCTTAAGTGGTGCCTCCTAACCTGTTTGTAGGGAGCCGGCCGCTCTGATTCTGCTCGTCTGTGTGTCTGTCAGAGGCAGGGCCTGGGACTAACTGAGGTCAGACGGGCACCCAGGAGCCCCCAGACTCAGGGCCTTTGCACAGGTGGCCTGGCCACGCTCGCGCCTGACTGTCCTGACCCCCGTTCTCGCTCCCAGCACACATGGGTCTCTCAGGGTCTGTCACCGGCCGTCTCTCCTTCTGCTCTATGACATCATCTTTCTGTGCTTCCTTTCCTACAGGAAGTTGGAAGTATCATCGGGAAGGTAACTACTGAGTGAACTCTGCTCTGCTGGGGCCCCTGACAAGGTGACAGGGCCACCAGGCCTGCGCTGGGCGGCGAGCCACACCGCGGTGCGCACCACGCGCAAGGATTCCAGTGGAATCCCGCGGCCCCGCCTGCAAGGCCCCGGCGGGTCACCGGGCAGCCCCGCCCCCACTGCCCCACCGCCCGGTGGCCCGTCCTTCCCGGGTGTGAGGGCCCGGTGAGCGTGAGTCACTGGCATTCTCCAGCGCAGTACCCCTGGTCAGTGGGTGGTGGTGGTCGGCTCTCATGTCTCCCTCCAAAATAAAAGCGCGCCGTGGGAAAGTGAGCGCGGATCTGGGAGTTGGAAGCCTGTGGCGGAGGCTGGGGCAGGGCGCCACCTACCCGTGGCTGGCGTCCCACCGTGTCCAGGCCCCCTGGTGTCCAGCGGGCGCCTCTGTGCTCCGAGTCCAGGTCTTCCCACCAGGGCCCTGGGTGTGCCCCCCCCCGCCCCGGCCTGGCCCTGCTTTGCCCGTGATGAAGACGAGGGATATGAGCACCACTGCAGAGCAGGAGCCGAGTGGGCCAGCACCCGGCGCCTCCTCTGAAGGGCCCCTCGCCAGCCTGTGGTGGGGCTCGGGGCTGGGGGTGCGTCAGGCTCTCGTCCCCGCCCCGGGACTGCTGCTCGCTGGCCTGGGGCACCTGGTGCACGAGGCTGTGCTCCCACCTCGTGCTGCCACACCGAACCCTCCGCACGCCTGTGGCGGAAGCCCGGAGTGACGCCTCACCCTGTTGTCTGCATCTTTATTCCAGAAGGGAGAAACTGTGAAAAAGATGCGTGAAGAGGTGAGGTGGCTGGTCCTCGGTGGTGTCCCGTTTGTGGGCAGGCGGGAGGTGGGAGGCCAGAAGTCCTGTCCTGCGGGAGCCCCTGCCGTGCCCACGGCCACCTCCCAGCGGCAGCAGGCCCCTTCCCTCTGACCTGCACACCCCCACGTCTGGGGCTCTGTTGTGGGGGGTTGTGGGGGGCATGGCGTGGCAGCTGTCGGCACTGTGAAGGACGGCACTGGGGGGGCCTCACCGTGCAGCGTGGAGGCTTGCCCGTGGCTGTCAGGAGGCCTGAAGAACCCAGCCCGGTACTGCCCGTGACTCTAACCCTGGCCCGGGTGTGCTCGCCTCCTTCCAGAGCGGTGCCAGGATCAACATCTCTGAGGGAAACTGCCCGGAAAGAATCGTGACCATCACGGGCCCCACGGACGCCATCTTCAAGGCCTTTGCCATGATCGCCTACAAGTTCGAGGAGGTAAGATGCGCCCCCAGAGACCCTGTGTGTGGGGGGAGGGCATGGTCTCCACTGGTCCTCTGGCCCCACGTCCCCTGTGTCTGGACGTGGGCACAGCCTGGCCCACCAGGGATGCCCTGCTTGGCTGCAAGGACTTCTCTTCTCCCCTGTCACCTCTGCTGCCCAGGGGCTCCCCCGGCTGCTGGCCATCTGGGGACAGGCCCGAGCATGAGCCCCAGCCGCCCCCCACGGCTCCTGCCCCGGCATGGGAGCTTGGCTACAGGCTGGACCTGGGGGCTCTGCTGCTGGCCCATAGAAACACGCACGCACTCACATGTCTGGGGCACGTCTGTGTGCTCTATCAGCGACTTACATCAAGGTTTTCTTGCGTTTCCAATATTGTTCAAGTTGCCAAAAGTTATTTAGAGACACATTCAGAGCACTCGCGTTCCCACGCTTGTCCTCCCCCCGCCTCCACTGACCATGGGCCTCTGGGGGCAGGGACCCTGGCCCGCCAGTCCTTGGAGCACATTCAGCTGCTTTCTCACGAGCCTGGCCTTTGCACTCACTGGTGTGTGCACAGCAGGCCCACACGTGTGTCTTTCTCCCTCCCCAGGACATCATCAACTCTATGAGCAACAGCCCTGCCACCAGCAAGCCCCCAGTGACGCTGAGGCTGGTGGTCCCCGCCAGCCAGTGTGGGTCCCTGATCGGCAAAGGCGGCTCCAAGATCAAGGAGATCAGGGAGGTAACAGAACCTTCTCTGGCTGCTGGTGCCCCACTGCTGGGTGGGTAAGGCCCACCCCTGGGAAGCTCACCCTGCCCCCGGGGAGGCCCAGCACTGCGAACTGTGCCAGTGTGGAACTTACAGTAGGGGAGAGCCATCCAGAAAGCAAAGGGTGGGCTCTGGGAGCCCCTGGAATGTGCACAGACCACTCACAGTGTCATGCAGAGGGGCTGGGCCCCTGCACGGGGAGCTGTGCAACCCAACCAGCGACAGGCAGCGCCCCCCCGTGATGGGGTGGGGGGCCACACCCTGCCACCCAGGCATGTGGCTCTAGGCCATGGAGGCTGTGCTCTCTGTCCCCAGGCAGGTGCCTCCAGGGCCCACCAGGCCTGAGCAGACCAGTAGGGCTGGTGAGGTGCAGACTTTATGTTCATGTTCCTTTATTCAAAGAAAGGACTCCTTCCCTCTCCCAGAAGAGAGGCCCGCCTGTCGTGATTCCGTCACGGCAAGACAGCCACAGAGCTTAGGCCCCTCTAGAATCCCTCTTCCTCTGTGACCTACAACTCCACAGGGGAGATAAAGTATTTGAAAAAAGTGACTCCATTTCTGTCTCCATCTCTGCAAATGCCACTTGCAGGTTAAGACGCCTCTTCTCCAGCGTCACTGTCCCTGCGCCAGGCCGTGCTGGGCAGCGGTGGGTTAAGGCACGCAGCCCCGCCACGGGGCCCCAGGGAACAAGCGGAGGGCTGAGGGGCCGGACGGGCGTGGTGCCCTTGGGGTGGGTGTCCATGCACTGTGCCCTCGACGTGATGCCCTCCCCAGCACCCAGGAGCTCTGCTTCAGCGCAGGCTGCCGCCGCCACCAGCCCCTCCCCTGCCATTCCCCTTCCAATGTCTTGTTTCTGCAGTCCACAGGTGCCCAGGTCCAGGTGGCCGGGGACATGCTGCCCAACTCCACAGAGCGGGCAGTGACCATCTCGGGGACCCCTGACGCCATCATCCAGTGCGTCAAGCAGATCTGTGTGGTCATGCTGGAGGTACAGTCTGGGCACCCAGGGCTCACTGCCAGCCTACCCCTCGCGCCACACTGTCCGTGGCTTCTTCAGCCTTGGCTTCTTCGTGTTGGCTGTGGCATGTGGCTGGGGCCCTGAGAATTCACACGGTCAGGGCCGTGTGGGGGCCAGGGGTCAAGAGCGTGACCCGAGACCGCACCCAGGCCGCGCTGGCTGTGCGGGTGCTAGTCCTCTCGGGCATGTCCATCGTCTCGGCTGGGGGGCCGGGGAAAGGGTGTGTCAGGAGGCAATCGGATGAGCAGTCATTAGTCTGCAGTGGGAGGGGCGTCCGGTAAAGGGTCGGGCCTTAGCCTCGGTGCAGGTCTGTGCTGGACACGCTGCCCACTGTGGGCAGGCCCTGCTGCCCTGGGCCTGTGAGGGGAGGGGAGGCAGGAGGCCCACGCTCACCACGCCCGCAGGCGTCAGAGCCCCACCAAGGCACAAAGGAGGAAAAGCACACGAAAATGCCCAAACTGTAAAGACAGAGAGGAATAAACAAAATGGTTAAAACCAAAGCAGAAGCGAAGATACAGCTGAGCAAGACAAAAGCCTCTCTTGAAATTTTTTTGAGAAAAAACCCTGAGATTTAAATTTCAGCTAATACCCCAAATGCAGCAGGATTCACTGAAGCTCCCACAGTTGCTGGTCTTCAAGCTACAGTGAAGTACTTCGGCCTCTGACGAAGGCTCCTGTGCCTTGGCCGGTGTCTGTGGGCTCCGCCCTCTTTTGTCCTTTGTTTGGTGCTCAAACCCACGTCCAGCTCTTTAAAAAAATTGCATAGATTTATTTTCCCAAGTATACTATTTTGTGAAATCAAAACTATTTTTCTAAATACTGGTGTCCTGATGGTCCCCAGCCACTGGTCACGGAGACGGTGCCGGTCTGTGTTCCTTCGGGCCCCTGCCGCTGGGAGCCCGGTGGCGCCATGTGGGCACGCGGTGAGCAGGGCCGTGCACTCCCTTGCACTGGCAGATGCCCGAGGCGGCGAGAAAGCACACGCATCTTGAGCGGCAGCGGCCACGTCAGAGTGCGAGGTCACATGAACAGTTCCAGGAGGGACACAGCCTCCCATGTCCACGAACAAGGGTTAGAATAAGACTGTCGGTCTCCTCAGGACTCCTCCCGAGCGGCGTTGCCGGCGCCACGTGCATGGTCAGATGTGGCCCATAGAAACAGGCTGGACCCCACTGGCTGTGGGTGCTGGTGCCCCAGGGCTGTGTTCCCGCTGGCTGGAGGCTCACGCGAGACTCAACTGTGAAGCAAGCACGCGTGGCGAATGGGAACGGCAGACCCAGGGCCGAGGCGATGCCTCACTCTTGCTCGGGCCATGGAGCTCTCAGAGGTCGGAGAGCTGGGGTCTCCCCAGGGGATGAGGAGCCACTGCACCTAGAAATGGTTGGGCCCGTTTTTAAGTGAAGAATAGCTGGACAAATAGAGCAAAAGATTAAAGGACTTCCAGACTTAGTTCTGGCCAAGGTCATACAGCACTTAGCCCCACACCCTTGAAATGGCCTCTGCGAGGGCTGCCCTCAGGTGGGGGCAGATCAGTGGGGCCCCGTGGAGAGCACAGGTCTCACGGCAAAGCCTGCCCGGCCGTGCCCACTGTGCCCCAGCGGGCACCGGGGGCGCCGTGCTCACAGGGCCTCTCCTGTCAGAGGACATTGGCGAGCGCGAGAATCACAAGCTCATGGTGCTGGGATGGAGGGCGCTGCAGTCCGTGGGGCCAGAGGGCACGGAGCGAGGTGCCCGGCTCAGGGACGGGGCATACCTGGACTGAGTTCCCTGCTGGTGCAGTGAGAACCTCACTCCCCCAAGCTCGGCTTAGTCATGGGTCTGCCACCATGAACCGAGTGTCCTCTGAGGCCGCAGTGACCCCCGGCTGCACAGAGATGATTCTGGAGGCATCTGGTCGTAAATAGCAGGAGCACCGAAGACCGGCCTACCCTGGGGGCCCAGCATCACCCCAGACGGGGTCAGCTCTCAGGCCCCTCAGCAGCCCTTCCTGCTTTACAGCAAGGCTGCACGGTGTTCCCAAGGTCATACAGCTCGGCCAAGGTCACACAACACACCTAAAGTCAGGCAGCATGTCAAGGTCATGTAGTGGAGTCAGGGTCACACAGTGTGCCCATGATCACACAGCATGGCTTGGACTGCAGAGTTGAAGCTGCCACCCGGTGTGCTGAGCCTGCCCCACATTGCTTTGTGTCTCTCGGGGGGCACTATGAGGTCACACCCAATAGCCCAGGGTGTGGGCTGGGCCTGAGGGCACCACGGTCTCGAGACCTCCCAGCAGGGACAGGCTGTCCTGGCCCCCACCCTCTGCCTCTGGCTGGTGGTGTTGCTGACCCAGGCCAGCCCTGTGGCTTCTGTTCCCAGGGAAGACTGCCACGTGGCCGGACTAGGGAGGACCCTGATTGCCTCTGACCAAGGAGTTCGGTCAACTCAATCAGAATCGGGCAGACTTCTGGTACTTGAGAATATCATTCACCCCAAGATAAAAATCTATACTTTTGGGCACAGAATAAGCAAAGGAAATTATAGCAAAGCTCATCACGACTATAGAATACTGAATTTGGACTCTAAGCTTTTTTAAAAAGTTGCTTCTTTTTATGAATAGTGAAATCGGATGTTTCTAGCTGTCCTGTGATGATGCCTACTGAGCATCCAAGCCTGGCCCCGCGAAGCCTTTGGGGCACTGGGCATGAGCCCCCATGGCCGAGCCGCCCATAAAGCCTGGCTTTCCCCTGAGCATGGGAGAGAGGGAGGGAGATTTTCTCAGAGGACAGCAGCCAGGCTGACCCAAGTGTGGAACGACAGCACCCTGGTCTGCAGGCAGCCACCTGTCCATCTGCGCACAGGCAGGGTCTCGGCCTCCGTTCTTGCTCGTCAGGAACTGACGGTGCACACTGCCACGGAGCCCCCGCCCCCCGCCCCGCATTCCGCGGGAGTGGTGGCGCCAGGTGGGAGCGTATTTAGGGCAGTGGCTACCCGGAGGAGAGAGGTGGCCCTGTGGAGGGTCCCTCTCAGGCTGCCCTCCTGCTGCAGGGTGTCCCCACCCTCTGGGGCTGCTGCAGCCTGGGGGACAGGGCAGGGCGGGTGGTGCAGCGGGGGCGGGCTTGGGAAGGAGGCCCCCGTCAGCAGGTCCTGGTGCTGGGAAGCCGCTCTAATGCTCTCTCTCCCTCTCCTGTCCCTTTTCCTAGTCCCCACCGAAAGGTGCCACCATCCCCTACCGCCCAAAGCCCGCCTCCACCCCTGTCATTTTTGCAGGTGGTCAGGTAAGAGCCGACCCGCTCGCGGCCTCCACTGCCAACCTCAGCCTCTTACTGCAGCCCCCGCCGCTGCCCGTTAGTGCACTCAGGTTTTCTCCCCTGTCACGTGCACGTCTCCCACCCCACCCACGCTGGACGCAAAGCTCTCCCAGCCCGCTGCCGGGCACAGGGTCGGGCACACAGACAGGGCCACGGCAGACGTCCCGTAGACACTGGGCCCTGGAAGCGTCTTCTCCCTGACCTGGCACAGAAGGACCCTGGTTCTGCCTGTGCAACGTTCAACCCAATCTAGCTCCTGAGTGTCCTTAAGAAGCCTTAGCAGAAGGGCCAGGAGCGTTACCGGTGACCCTGTGGCTCCAAGTTGAAGCAGCTGGAGCTGCAGGAACAGGGTCCCGCTTCCCCTGAAATGCACATTCCTGACTTTCCACAGAGGAGTTTCTGGGAGCAAGGGAAGGGAAAGGTGCCCAGCCAGGCAAGAGCCTTGCCGGTCACAGCAGTGGCCCTCGCGCTCCACCAGGCCCGGCATCAGCCAGGTCAGGAACACCTGCTCTGCACGCCTGTGGCTATGGCCCAGAGCCCCCGACCTCCTTTCTCCCCTGCCGGCGAGGAGCCTGGGAGGCCAGGGGTTGCAGAGAAATCTGTGTCTGAGGCCGGCAGTTCATTAGCAGGGCCTAGAGAGAGCCCAGGAGAGGGGGTGTAGCCACTGCCCCACAAGGGCCCACCTGCAGCCATCGGGCACCTGGGCCACACCCCTCAGGGGCACCACGGCGTGGGTAGAGGGCCCTGGAAGATGCCCGGCCAGTGGTGCCTGGAGGAGCTCTGCGTCCAGTTGGCGGTGACATGTGTCCTTGTTCGAGGGAGAGTGAAGACGGGCAATTCCCAGAGGTGACCCAGGTCAGGCGAGAGTGATCATGATTTTATCATTAACAAAGCAGCAAATAAAGATTTATCCACACGTTAAAGGAATCTTATCAGATCCTGCAGGTTGACTTCACACGTTAGGTGAGAGGCTGGGGCCTGCATTTCCAAGAGCAGCTTGTGGGCCTCTTCCCATGGGGCCTGCGTGGTTCAGGGCAGGCCACTGTCCACGGTGCCCGGCTTCCTCAGGCATCCGCTGTGGGCCTCCCTCCCAGTCTCCCAGCAGCCCTGCCCGCTGTCTGGACCCTTCATGTCCCTGCTCCCTCCTGTTGCAGCCCCAAGATGTGGGCACACCCCCATTTTACAGGTCAGAAGGCAAGGCCAGAGGAGGCAGGGGAGCAGACACAGCGGGGCCCCGTGCAGAGCACTGTGTCCTTTCCCCTGACACGTGGACAAACCCGCAGTGGCACCATGTGGGAGAGCGCAGGTCTTTATTGAAAAGGGAGGCCCCACGGGCCCCGCCCAGCACGGCCCCGGCCATCAGGGCCGTCATCTGCACCTGTGTGCCGGGACAGCGAGGTCTCGCCAGTGGCTCTCCCTGGTTGCGTGGGGACAGAAGAACCACAGCACACGCTGAGCAGTGGGGTGTGAGTGGGATTTAGTGCAGAAGGCGGCCCCTCAGAACCCGACCCCACTGCCACAGAACCTAGACCTGAGAGACCTGCGCCCCTCTCCCTGGCTGACCTCCGGAGGCATCCCTCGCCGTGGGGGCCCGCCCGGGAGCACCAGCCCTGCCTTTGAGGCAGCTCACAGAGGGTGAGGGTTTCATCCAGACGGAACCTTTGTCTGTCAAGCTATTACCGCCATCCAGAGAGCCTGGTAAACTGCCCACACACTTCAAGTAGGATTAAGAATTACCTACGTGAGTAAAAGATAAGTCAGAAACGTCTGGGGTGAAGAACTGCACTGTCAGGAAGTGTGCGCAATTCACTCGGATGTGCGGGGCCGTGAGGGCAACAGGCCCCGACCTTCACAGACCTGCCTGGTGGCATCTCCACAAAACCTAAAGATGAGGCCTCGCAGCTCTGTGTACAGAAGTACGGGGTGGGGGGCGCCCACTCGGACACTTGCTGCATCTGATAAGATCCCTTTACTTCTCCACGGAACGCCATCGGCGTACCCTGACCCAGACTGGGGCCCTCGCCTCCTGGGGTCCCTGTCCAGTGCCTGGCTGACCTTTAACTCCCAGGTTGGGTTGTTTATGACGACAACTCTCAGCAGATTCAAAAGATGCGGTTTGGCAGAACCTTGGACACCACCCCTCAGTGTGGAGTCCACGAAGTGACGCTCAGACTGACCTGGGGTTTCCCTCTTGGGTGCACACGTGCAGACACAGGTGGGCATCACATGTCCACTCAGGATGTGGCACGGGGACCCACATGGCCAGGTGCCAGCAGCCACGTTCCTCCACACCTGTGCCCCCAAGTTGGGGCCTCAAATGTGGCTTTCCGGGGCTGGATGCGGCACGTTCCGCATCGCAGTACGTGAGGCCTGATGGCAAGACTTTGGTCTTTACTCTCCCTTGACACCTTGTGGTTCGTTTGGTTTTGGCCATGAGTTTCTGGGAGCATCGGAGCCGGTGGACTGTTGAGGCAGGAGGGGGCGGGTGGGGGGAGGAGGCACGGGGCCCACACTCGAGCTGTGGCTGGTTCTGAGTCGCTGTCTTGAAGGTGAAGCCTCGGGGACCCTCGCTGGCCCCCGGGGAGCAGTGCTGTGCACGTGCAGCCCCCCGTGAGAATAGCTGCCCGGCCCTCTGAGGCTGCAAGACAAGTCGGTCCCTCTTGTGACTGATTTGGGTGCATTTCTTCATCTGCTTTCACAAAGTTGGTCTTGAGTCACCTTTTAAAGGTCCTTTGTTGGGTTTTGGGATAAATACTTTGTAAAAGTGTTTACTCTGAAAGCTGATGAAATTTCAAAAGGTTAACAATTAGTGAGTCTATAACAGGGTGGGGTCCTTTGCAGGGGTTTTCTTTTAAGAGCCCCGGGGGAGTGGGGAGCCTCCTCGCCCTCCCTGCTGACCGGCCAGTGTCTGAGCCTGCAGCTGTCCAGCGAGTGGGCTGTAGCTCCCCTGGCTTATGCGTCTGGTTGTAGCTCCAGACACCCGTGGGCACCGGTGAGGCCTGGAGCCAGGACACCCCCAGTCTGCACCTCCCGGTGCCCTAAGCTACTGGGGGCAGGTGGGGACGCGCTCTGGGAGGAAGCTCTGACCACGGGGCCTTGGGCCTGTTCACGAGAAGTCCCAGCCCTGAGAAAGCCCTTGTCCCGGGGGGAGGGCCGCCGGTGGGCACAAGTGTGGCTGGCCGCTTCCCGAGCTGACGGCGTCTCTCTCTTTCTAGGCCTACACGATCCAGGGACAGTACGCCATCCCCCACCCAGATGTGAGTCTCCACTCTGCCTCCCTGGCCTTCTCTTCTCATCACCGTTACCCCCTGCATGCCTCTGTTACTTGCTACTAATATTAATATTACACAATAATATTAATACCGTTCTCTCAATGTTCCCGACCTGTGTCGTATCCATATGACCTTGAATAACCTTTAACCTCTTAGCACTAATTCTACTCGTGTGGAGGACTTGGCCTGATGTCAAATTGCTTCCATTGTTGCTGCACTCTGGGGCTTTCCTCTGCACACAGGGCCTTCGGCGGTGGCCACAAGGCTGCTTTGCCCATGGCACCCGCCCCAGCGGGCAGGGACCGCGGGGTGCCCTACGCCCACCTGAGAAGTCAGGCGACGCGCTATCAGACAGGTGCTCTAAGAGATGCTGGAGAGGATGTTTGGACGTCCGGTAAAGCTACACTTTCCGGAGCCACACGACACCGTCAGCACCCCCACGCCCCCCACCCCGAGAACAAAAGCCAGCAGAAGGGGCCTTGGTTTCCACTGTAGCCTTGAAGCCGTGCTCTGCCGTGGGGCCTGCTCAGCCGTCCCTGAGTGCGTCACGGTCTGAGGATGGTATCAGAGTTGAGGATGGGGACGCCCGAAAATGCACTGTGCAGGGGCCCAGGGACCGAGGGGACAATGTGCAGCGGCTACGGGGCAGCAGCTGTGATCCAAGGTCATCCCTCCACAGGGATCTAGACGCGCGCCGGGCACGGGGCCAGGAGGCCTGCAGGAGCTGGTCGCGAAGGGAGGGAAGGGGGAGGGAAGGGGGACCAGGCCAGGGCAAGAAGGCCGAGCTGGGGATCAGCAGCTGCAGCAAACCCAGAGTTCATTTTGAGAAGCCTTTTTCTTCTCTAAATCGTTGTGAAGATCGCCGAGCTTCGCAGCCTCTCCCGAGAAAGCGTTTCCGGCCTGTGTTCTCTGTGATCTGAGACTTGTATCTGGGAGGTGCCGCCAGGCTGACAGGGCTCGCCTCTTCTGCAAACCCCTGCTCGCTTGAACTGGGTGGGCGCGGACGTGGGCAGTGAGACGTACGGGCAGAGCAGGCAAGGGCTTTTTAAAATGAAGCGAGGCTAAATAAGAGTGGGGGGGGTGTGGGGATTCAGTTCACTGCCACGGCAGGGAACTCTCCTCAGAGCAGAGAAGAGATACTGGCAAGGTTTCCTTTTCCTGAAAAAATTCCCAAGGGCAGTCTGTGGAGCAGGAGGCTCTCCCCGCCCCAGGCACAGCCCCGAAGCCGTTTTCCGTGGTTCCTGGGTTTAGGTGGTGACTGCCTTTAGCACTAAGTCACCTGTTCCCTTACCTGCCCGTGGCCACCCCCACTCATGAAGCTGTCCTTCTCCTCCTGCCCAGGACATGCTGCGAGGGCCCTGGCTCCTTGCTGGATAGAAGCCGGGCGGGGACACAGCTGTCTGCATTTAGCTGGTTGGTGGGGTGACACCAGTCTGTCCACCTGCTCACTCCCGTCCCCCGCCTGCCCACCCGAGCGCATAGCCACCTCAACCTCCCCCTTGAGGACACGTGTCGAAGCCTGGCCTCTGCTGCTGACCCCCACATACCGTTCCGTGCTATCAGGGATGCTCTTCATTCTGCTGTGAGTTTCTTAGAGATCCCAGGAGTGGGGAAGGTGGCGAAGGTGTGAACCCACTCAGCCTTCTCAAAAGAACCATCGGCAGCTTTAAAAAATTGTTAAAATTTCCAATTAAATTGGAATTTGTTAACAAAAAGAATTGTTAAAATTCTTCCACCATAAGGAGGTTGACAGCATTGCCCAAGAAGATGAGGGAGCAGTGGAGGTCGGTCTGCAAGACCCCCCACAGCAGGCAGGGGCAGACCCCGTAGCTCCAGGTGGGTGATGCCCCATCCCTCATCATCTGGGCAACCGCCAGCTGTGACCGAGGGGATGCAGGTGTTAGAGCCTGGGAGAAGGGGTGGCCTGCCCCCAGCGCAGGAATGCCGTGCAGAGTGTAAGCGCTCAAGGGGTGGGTCGCACACTGCGATGGTAGGCTCTACGGCCCCTCACAGACAGACGGCCCTGAGTGGGGGTGATGGGCAAGCAGAACGGAAGCCAAGTGGGTCACAGACCTAATTCCTGGGACGGCACAGTCTTCATTTAACGTGGGGCCAGACAGTCTTGTGTCACTAGAAGTGCAAGGGCTGATTGGAAAACCTGGCTCGTTGGCTTTTTGAAAGCTCAGGAACTCAGGAACACAGGGGTCTGGCCCCTAGTAAAGGGCAGTTGGCCCCAGAGAACAGCTCTGGTTTTGAGGCGGGAGCCACAGACCCACCGACAAAGGCCTGAGGTTTCCTGCAATCTCTGAGCTGACAGAGAAGTGTTTCTGGCCTGAAGTTCCCGGGGTTGTGGGCGTGCACACTTCAGTCTGGCTGACTGGTTTTTCTATTAATTGGTTGTTGTGTCTTTCCAAGTGATTTTCTCAGAATCTCTTCAAAGTGGGTCGTTTCGCAGGTTTTTTTCTCAGATTGGTTAAACTGACTTATAACTAACTATTGCATAATTGCCTCATTACATTTGGTAGAGACCTGAGATACTCGGTTCTTCTCAGGAAACGGCTGTCTGTGCGGGACCCTCCGCTGTGTAGACTGGCCCCAGGGGCCGGGCAGCTGCTGGGACTCAGTAGTGGGCAGTCTGAGAAGTGCGCGGCTTGCAGGCTCGTGATGTTGAAGACGGGACAATCATGTCGATACTCCATCCAGAACAAAATGAAACAACTGTGTGGTGACATTGGTGATTATGGCCAGGAAGGCAGCTTTTATCTGAGCTTAGTATTCAGTGGGGACCTTAAGGGCTTTGTGTCTTAGAACTCAGATGTAATAATGGTGGGAAAAACTACTTTATTTTGTAACATAACTGAATGCGGTTTAAACACTTGAGCCACGGTGGCTGACACACAGCACAGGATCTTCCAGCAGCCTGTGACCCGAATCACAGACTGAGAAAACATGTTCCTTAGAGCTGAGTGTTACTTTATCTAGAACTAAACTGTACGTGTTTTTTCTGTGCCCGGTGTTGATGAGCATTCTGGTTCACCCTCCCTGGAGACTCACCAGTTTCCCTGCAGGGTTGCGCTGCCACTCAGTTGTCTTGCCCGAATCCTCCTGGACTTGCCCAGGAGAGGCACCAGGACACTGGGTGTGGGGAGGATGGCCCCAGCCATGGCCTGACCGCCGCAGCCCTTGGGCGGCTGCCCCTGACCTCCACGCAGCCTGCCCAGGTCCGCGTGGCTTTAGACATGGCAGGGGAGGCAGCAGGGACTCGGACGTGGGAACCGCCCTGTCCTCCTGCCCACCCAGTACCTGTGTCTCTTCACTTACTCGATGTGATCACACGGGAGGGATGAGTCAGCTTCAAGCCAACCCCCACGTGTGATTCTTCTTTGCTGGTCTTCAGAGCATCCGTCACTCCCTCCGTAACACGCCCTCATTTAAGGGGCACCGGAAGCAAGCAGAAACTAAGCCGTGTGTTAGAGGTGACAACAGAGGGTTTGCCACCTCCACCCCTTCGCCTGCGCCTGGCACTGACTGCGGGCTAGCAGTCAGGACGGCCACCCGGTTTTACACAAGGAAGTGGTCGCCGCAAAAGCTCACTGCCCAAGCTAAAGAGCCACTGGCTTCCAGCGTGTTCTGGAGTTCCAGGAAGCGTGTCCTTCAGAGTGAGTAGCGGGAGACGGTAACACGGGAGTCGGAACAGAAGTAAAAGAGGGAAGATGCACATTAGGTCCTGCGTGGAAGATGTTTCCCAGCTGTCCACTCACGTGTCACTGTGAGTGCAGGAACTCCCCTGATGACCACCAGTCACCTCCTCTAGATCCCCGTGGGGATGGTGCAGAGGCCGCTCCTGACACCTCGAAGTGGAAACGGTGAAGAGAGTAGCCAGCACTCTCAGGCCACCCGGCTGCTGGGCCTGACCTTGGCCCTGCTCTTTCCTCAGGATCCTGCAGCTCGGAGTGGTGGGGAGGTACCCACACACCGGACCCCGACCTCCCGGGGTGGGAAAAGCAGGAGGCCAGCTTGCCTTAGATCTTCCCTGTCTCCCTGCCCCCACCCCAGGTGAACTCAGTCACTCTCCTGCTGAGCCATCGGGTGCCTGGCTTCCTCCTCCCAGCCTGCCCCTCTTAGAGGCAGAATCTGCATTTTCATCCCATCGAAGTCCCAAGAAGAGGTCATCACATGGAGTGAGGGAAGATTCTATGAGGTAGGCACTGAGAATTTCTCAGAATTAATAAAAGAAGCCAATCTTCACATTCAGGAATCCCAACAAATCCCAAACAAGATAAATAAAAAGAAATCCACTTTATACATATCAAAGTAAAACCACGTAACATCAAGGCCAAAAGTAAATCTCCAAAGTAGTCAGAAAAGGAATGTTACAAAGGAGCATGAGAGAAGGTGCAGGGACGTCTCACCAGCCGCCCTGGAAGCCAGAAGGTGATGTCGTGATGAAATAATTGTCAAGCCAGGCTTCTGTCTTAAGAGCATCTTCCAAGGACCTAAATCCAAGCATTTTCAGACAAACAGCTGTGACCAACAGGCTTCGCCCTTCAGGAGGACAGTGACTGTGAAGGGAAGACTAGAGATGCAGGACAGAGGGGCTTGTTTCATTCACGTAAGAACAGGCCGAGGAAATATTGATGGTTGTGACTCCATTAAAATGTAAACATTTAGGTAAATGAAAGCAACAGTTGTAAAGTCAACATCAAGGCTGTCTAATTTGTGGGATTGACAGAACAGAACAAAGGGACAAAAATAGCAGACGTATGCTTCAGATGGATCCAGGGGAATTCGAGCTTCCTGTCGGTCACTGTGTTGTCCCAGAAGAGGCAAAGCTACGGAATTTAGACTTTAAACGTATGTGTTAAAATGTCAAAGTGACCGCTGACAGAAAAGACTTTACTTAAGTGACTTCCCCCCAGATGCAGAGGGAAGAGGGGTGGGGGAAATTAATCCATACAAAAGAAGAAAAAGAGTGAAAACATGAAAGAAGCTTTAAAAAGTCAGGACAGTTACAGGTGCAAAATAAAATAAAATGGCAGAGGGCGCCTGGGTGGCTCAGTTGG